AATGTATAAATTTTTTTTAGCAGATGCCTCATCTGTGGTCGTGTGTTTTTTACTAGAGCAATGCTGTTCTTCAAGTGTAATGGAACATGTCTTCATTGTGTATTGTGTATTCTTTTCTTTGTACAGTTTTACAGAAAAAGAAAGAGAGAGAATTTATTTTCATCATTAAATCCTGCCAAACACAGCAAGCGGCCTGTTTCTTGGAGGAGGAAGTGCTGGGAATAAAGGAATGTTAAGCTAGCTGTATAACAGAAATTGCGTTGCCAGCAACAAACTTTAGTGAGGACAGCATAATATATATGTATATATATATATATATATATATATATATATATATATATATATATATATATATATATATATATATATATATATATATATATATATATGTATGTATATATGTATATATGTATGTATATATGTATATATGTATGTATATATGTATATATATATATATATGTATGTATATATGTATATATATATGTATGTATATATGTATATATATATGTATATATATACATATATATGTATATGTATATGTATATATATATATATATATATATATATATGTATATATATATATGTATATATATATACATATGTATGTATATATATGTATATATATACATATATATGTATATATATATATATGTATGTATATATATGTATATATATATACATATATATATGTATGTGTATATATATATATATGTATATATATATATATATATATATATATATATATATATATATATATACACATATGTATACACACATATATATAAATATATGTGTGTGTATACATATATAATATATATATATATATATATATATATATATATATAATATTGAATGTGACAAACATTTTTGACACGTCCAAATTAGCTTTTGCATCTGAGGAAGTTTTCCTGAAAGAATGAAAAGTAATTTACAAGAATGTGCTCATTTGGTGACAAATCAGAATGATTGAAAGAGTTCTGTGGAGGCCATTCGAGCTTCTGGAAAAAAGAAGAAAGAGGCTTAGCAGCTGTCTCACCAGAAAGCAGCTGGAAAAACATCTAATGTCTAATGAGGATTTAGACGAGATAAACCCGTGTTAGACAAACTATAAATTTTTTTAATCCATATTTTCTATATTTTTATGTTTATATTTGCAAACCTCTAAAGCAAATACTTTTATAAAAGCATCTAACAGTGAAAAATCAGAAATAAAGGCATTTTTTTTATTATTTCAGTAATATTTGTAATATTTATTAAGCTAAAAATTAACCACTTGCAACTCCTTCCTGTTTCCTTAGAGTTCTGCATAAATTCTGTCTTAAATCACACAGAAAGCCTGGAATGTGTCACATGCCTGCACCTTTAACCTCTACACATACGGTATGACCTAACATGTAATGTGTTGAGGGGAAAGAACCTGCAGCAGATTACTTACTGGGTCAAAGTTTACCAGCTAAAAGAAACATGCTAACACCCCAATTTCTCTACTAACCCGGGCTGCTCAGTTATAAAAAAAATACACTTTCATACTAATGAAAGCCTTTTTAAATTAAACAAGTCATTTAATCAGCGAGAGTTTTCAAACAAAACTGCAAAATTTCACAAATTTGCGCAAAGCTCAAATGAACCCAAAAATACAAGAGAAACTACTTTAGTGATTGTAATGCTCTAGGTTCAGATGTACAGAGTGATGAGGCTGCTATATAAGTCCAAGGGCTTTGTATGGTAAGGAGCAGGAGCCTTCTAATCAGGTCTAAAAGTGTCCGGACATCTGGAGAGAAGCTGGAAATCTCCTGGTTTTTCTTTGTGGCTCAGCGGCAGAATTTGGAACATGATGGAATCTTTCTGGAACCATGAAAAACATTAGATGGTCGGGTTTGTTAATAACAAAAATGTGAATCCGTCTGCTCTGATCGTGGCCTTCAGCTCTTCTGAATTGTTGGGTCTGGTGAATTGCATCTTCCATATGTTCTATGGGGTTAGGGTCAGGTGAGTTTTCTGGCCAATCAAGAACAGGGATACCATGGTCTTTAAACCAGGTAGCTTTGGCACTGTGTGCAGGTGCCAGGTCCTGTTGTAAAGTAAAGTCTGCTTCTCCATAAAGTTGGTCTGCAGCAAGAAGCATAAAGTGTGAAGCATGAACTTTGACCTCAGAAAACACAATGGACCAACACCAGAAGATGACATGGCACCCCAAACCATCACTGACTGTGGAAACTTTACACTGGACCTCAAGCAATGTGGATTATGTGCCTCTCCTCTCTTCCTCCAGACTCTGGGACATTGATTTCCAAAGGAAATGCAAAATGTACTTTCATTAGAAAATGTAACTTTGGACCACTCAGCAACAGTCCAGTCCTTTTTGTCTTTAGCCCAGGTGAGACGCTTCTGACGCTGTCTCTTCTAGAGGCTTGACACAAGGAATGCGACAGCCGAAACTCCTGTCTTGCATCACCTGTGTGTGGTGGTTCTTGAAGCACTGACTCCAGCTGCAGCCCACTCTTTCTGAATCCCCCCATTTTTGAAAGGGTTTTGTTTCACAATCCTCTCCAGGATGCAGCCAGCCTCTTTAGCAAGGACCTGTTGTTTCTTGCCCACCTTGTGCAAGGTGTCAGTGGTCATCTTTTGGACAACTGTCAAGTCTGCAGTCTTTCCCATGATTGCGTAGCCTACAGAACTAGACGGCAAGACCACTTCAAGGCTTTTGCAGGTGTCTTGTGTTAAAAATGTGATCAGAGTGTGGCACCAGGGGTCTTCAATTTTGACCTTTTTTACAATATTCTATCCCCTCCTTTCCACCGGAGCCGTCAGCAGCAAGTTACTGCAGCAGCACGTCTTGCTCACGTATGCTGCTGCTTGGCCCTTCCCAAGAGACGCGAAGCAGAAGGGGAGCAGCTGTCACCGACAGAGCACGAAGTCACGCGACATTAGCAAAATCACACGTGACTTTGTCAGTAAACACAACAACAAGCAGGAGAAAACTACAACATGGCTCACACAACTCACCATCTTGCACCAAAACCGCAGATACGTCACTCCATGCGTTATCCTTCTTGACGTTGTCTTTATAAAAACTGTGACTGGGATCAAACAGGATTGGGTACTTCTCCACTTCAGTAATCAACCTTTCGTCATCCGTTATGGAAAAACAAAGGAGAACGCTAGCTAGGTGATAACTTTTTTTTTAAAGTAAAGCAACCGGAAGGCAGTACGTTTCTGTATCCTGAAAATCTCAGGAGCTTCACTCCGTTTCCGTGTCCGATTTCCTGTCTTTCCTTCCCCAAAAATGTCGAACTTGACCCATTTCAGAGGCATAGCGCGTAGAAAATAGAACTGGCGCGTAAGGGCCGCGACATGCTGCTCCTGAGACGCGGCCGACTCGCGCTGCTGACGGCTCCGGTGGAAACGGTTCTGTTGACCACAGCGGTTCCTATCAGCAGCTATGACGTGCTGCTGCAGGCTCGGTGGAAAGAAGGGGTAATATTCTGAGATACTGCATTTGGGATTTTCATAAGTTTTCAGTAATAATCATCAAAATGAAAGAAATAAACATTTGTGTGTAATGAATTAATATACAAGTTTCTTTTTTTCTTTCAATGGAATTGCTGGAATGAATCAACTGTGTCCTGGTATTCTAATTTTATGACCAGCACCTGTACATTAGATTGATTTAGCAGAGCTTTATATCTAAATGAACACATAGAAGAGTATTTGTGATACTTTGGCATGATTGCATGAAAAGTTGGGAATAACGCAGTAACTCCTTTATTTTAAAGTACTGCCACTCTGTCCCATTGACTACTTATCAGTTTAAGTACCACTGATTATTAAAGTTAAATTTAAAATTACATTTGATTAACAAAGATCCACCTGAAGCCTCCACACTATAATAATAATTATATGATGAGCATAAAAATCCTTGTTTCTTATAACGCATGCATACACGTATAATTTATAAAGCATTTACTGTGTACTGATTGATTTGGACTTCTCTGTAAGGTCTGAACTATTCATTTGGAGTAGCATGCTCTGAAATAACAGGAGTTTTTTAATTCCCTGAACAGAATTTATTAGTTAATTCGAAGCAGGGATGCCTGGTTTGTTCACGAATTTGATGTTTAATTCCTCTCTTCCAGAGAACTCTTGCAAAATCTTTGTTCTCCAAAACCGTGTTGGGTTGTGTCAACAGACTCAGATACACTATAACATGTAGCTTCCCAGAAACACCACTTTAACTTGAATTTGGTTTGATGCAACGTGTTCATTTAGAGCTTTAACCAGTTGTTCTGGACAAAAATTATAACTAGTTCATTTATATAAAATTAAAAAAGAAACAATCATGACGACTTTCTGCTTCCAGACTGATGCCTTGTACCTTGAGCGCATAAAATATCCTGATTCTTGTTTATTTTTAAATACTTTACCTTTTAAAGATTTTCATATAATGCTAAGTAATCATTTATTAAAGAAGAAATCTGAAGCGATCATTTGGGTCTTTGATTTATTGCATGAAAGTTGCTTAGTTGTTTTCTTTTCACTTGCAAGTCAGCAACAATATCAACTATCTGAGATTTAAATCAGCCTCTTATTGTTAATCTTTATTATTAATCTTTAAGGACTTTTGTCAAGTTTTGGTTCATCAAACAAAAAACAGACTGAAACTGTTTGTGTCTCGTTTTTAACCCTAATGCAACTGTTCTGGCACACAGTTCTTTTTTCTGCGATGGATTTAAAGTTGTCCTCATCCATTACGCACGCATCTCGGCCAACTTATTGATGCGTTTCATGACTTCTAAGACCCAAATGATTTCCAGGACCTACCAGAAGCTTTAAATGTTTGCTGACAGCTTTCATGGTAATTGAAATTAGCCAAAAGCCAACCTAATAATTACTAAAATGAGCAGGGGTATCGACAGAGAGCCTGAACAAAGTTCACCAGCAGTTGACTCTGTCTTTCTGGCCAATCTTGGGCTTAGAGGCGGGGGATAGACTATAAGCAAGATGATACATGTGCTTCACTTCCTCAGAGGAGAAACCGGAGTCGGTTGGGACTTTGTCAGCAGGGCAGAGGAGTTTTAGTAGAGATGGTTTCACTCAAGTCTCGGTCTCTGATGCCGGTGTCCAGAGCGGAGGCTCTGCTCGCGCTGGCCTGTCTGGCCATCGCGCTCCTCGCCTTCATGCTGGTTCGCCAGCTCGTGAAGCAGAGAAGACCTCTAGGGTTTCCTCCTGGTCCATCTCCCATCCCCATCATAGGAAACATTTACTCTCTCGCCACCGAGCCGCACGTCTTCCTCAAGAGGCAAAGCGAAGTTCACGGACGGGTAAGCGCTCTTTTTACCGGAGATGCGCTCTTCTTAAAAGAGCGGCTGCACCGGACCGTGCGCTCGCGCACACCCAGTTAGGATAAAAACGAACAATGGACACTAGATCTTTTGCTGGCGAGGTGCAGCATTTGATTGGAGGGAAAAAACGGACAAATCAGGGGATCCCAGAAATATAAATCTCCTCCCAAGAGCATGAATCTTGCAGCCACAGACTCCTGGTAACACGAGTTTTACTAAAATAAATGGAAAACAGATGCAGTTGTGCAAAAATCTCACTGTCCACTCCTTGCACCCAAGCTTGATTGTCCAGGGTTTAAAAATGTAGAAAGTTGACAATAAAAATAAATCATCTTGGTCTGAAAATCGAGTCTTTAAGAAATTGAAATAAATAAATAAATAAAACATTTAATTTTCATACTGTTACTTTATAGATTTAGCTACATAACTTCTAAGAAATTGCATTTTTGTGACAAGCTGCTTGGAACAAAGTGCCTCTAGATGCAATTTGAGAAATGAATTTTCAAGGCCATCCTTTGCATTTGGCATAGATTAGGGTTGAGTGGATTACAAAAGTAACAAAAAGTTTGTTTCTCCGACTCATTTGTAGCAAAAAATAAGGGATAGATCTAGAATTTTGCACAGGACTTTGTAGGATAGATTGTTTAAATGTTTCTACAGATGCAACAAGCAAACTGTTGGGTTGTAAGTAACTAACCGGATAAGTATATATGACAGATGTCTCAATGAGACTTTTATTACCTTTCAGATTTTCAGTCTGGACCTCGGAGGCATCATGACTGTGGTACTGAATGGGTACGACTGTGTCAAGGAGTGTCTCTATCATCAGAGCGAAGTGTTTGCTGATCGCCCATCATTACCTTTATTCAAGAAAATGACCAAAATGGGTGGTAAGATGATGTTTAATCTTTACATTTTATCCTGTTTACAAAACAGAATATTAAAAAGTGAAACAGACTCTAAATGTTTAAATTTGTGCTTTTCTTCACAATCCTAAGGGCTCCTTAATTGCAAATATGGGAAAGGGTGGAATGAACATCGCAGACTGGCTTGCAACTCTTTCCGATACTACGGCAGCAGCCAGAGGCTGTTCGAAAAGCGTATCACAGAGGAGTCCATGTTCTTCGTCGATGCCATGGACAAACACAAGGGTAAACCCTTCAACCCCAAACACCTCGTCACCAACGCGGTGTCGAATATAACCAACCTGATCATCTTTGGGCAGCGCTTCACCTACGATGACAGCAACTTCCAGCACATGATTGAGATCTTCAGTGAGAACGTGGAGTTGGCGGTCAGCGGCTGGGCTCTCCTGTACAACGCCTTCCCTTGGATCGAATATTTGCCATTTGGAAAGCATCAAAAGCTGTTCCGCAATGCTGCAAAGGTGTATGACTTTCTGCAGGAGGCCATAAAGACATTCTCACACGGCAGGGTGCCTCACACGCCACGTCACTATGTTGATGCCTATTTGGATGAGTTGGAGCAAAGTGCAGGGAACCCCAATTCCTCTTATTCCCATGAGAACCTCATCTATTCAGTGGGTGAGCTCATCATCGCCGGCACAGAGACCACAACCAACACCCTGCGCTGGGCCATGCTGTACATGGCATTGTACCCTAATATCCAAGGTAAGGACAAGCTGATGCATCATCCATTTAATTACGTGAAAGAGATAAGTTGTCCAAATGGTTCTATAAAGTTACAACTGATTGCTTTTGTTTTCCTTTACAAAGAGAGGGTGCACAGGGAGATTGACAGTGTGCTGTCCAATGGGAGGCCACCCTCATTGGGGGACAAGCATAAGATGCCCTACGTGGAGGCAGTTCTGCACGAGGTCCTTCGCTTCTGCAACATTGTGCCTCTTGGTATTTTCCGTGCCACCTCCCAGGACGCAGTAGTCAACGGGTACACCATCCCCAAAGGCACTATGGTGATCACAAACCTCTACTCAGTGCACTTTGATGAGAAGTACTGGAGCGATCCTGCCGTTTTCTCACCGGAGAGGTTTCTGGACAGCAGTGGGAACTTTGTGAGGCGTGAGGCCTTCCTTCCGTTCTCTCTAGGTTTGTGTCTCTGTGTTATCTGTGGGTGGGTCAAAAGAGGTCAAGAGAAAGCCCTTCCTTTACAGATGATGTTAGTCAGGATTTATTTTGGGGAAGCAAACGTGTCATCTTATGGGAGGTTTCCTTTTGTCAATTACAAATTTGGAAAATAATTTTAGTTGACATGCATCACTTTGATTTTTTCCCCTCCTCTCAGTTGTGTATGCTTTTGCCAGATACGTTCTCATTATTTAACCCCCCCCCCCCCCCCCCACTGTCCTAATGGGTGTAACCCCGTGAGGAAAGTTGAAGATTGAGCAGGGTTGATGGTTTATCCCTTGGGTCCACTTGGCAGGGGTGAGCACCACCTTACCCCTGCCACGTGGTCAACTTTCCTCGCGGAGTCACCCATAAAGACAGTGGGAGGGTTAAGCATAATTAGGTTGATGCGTAAATGAGGAAGCAGTAATGAACCAATTTTCTCCTTCCAGGGAGGCGACACTGCGTGGGCGAACAGTTGGCCCGGATGGAGATGTTCCTGTTTTTCACCACAGTACTGCAGAGATTTCATCTCCAATTCCCTCCAGGAGCTGTTCCGACAGTCACTCCCAAACTAGGAATGACCTTACAGCCCAAACCTTACTCCATTTGTGCTGTCCGCAGGCAGCAGAAACTTTCCTGTGCTGGAGACACTCCTTATCACAAGTAGGAACGCTGGCTGTTAGTATGGCTTGTGCAATAGTCTTTTCAAGGAATCTTTAGTGACACAGATGCCCCTCTGCAAGCTGGTTATGCAACTAATACTGATTTTTAGTGAGCAATATGCATATTTGCACAGTATTGTTAAACAGAGGAGGCAACGGGTGGTGAAAGGACATCCTGGGAATGCAAGCAGGCTATTGATCTGGTTCCCTGAGCTCCTGCACCCAGAAAATGAAATACCTGTTAACCTTGGCGCCATGGTGATGGCTTAGGTCAATGATTTACAGGATGTGCACCTAAGGTGGTTCATAGCCCCGCTGTTGTTGGTCAGCTCTGGGGAGATAAAGGACACCAGTTCTTGCTGTGCATTTTAAGCAAAGTGGGACAAGCAGACTTTCCAAGAAAGTTCTGAACAATGTGTGTCGGGAGCTGGAGACGAGCCAAGACATACATCATCGAGACTGACTCTGACCCCTTCTCCAGGGATGGTGCTGTTTGGAAAATCTTTCTCTTAGAAAGCAAATGCAACCCAGATGGACTTCTGGAAACAGACTGGTTACTGCAAGGCGGTGCTCCTCAGTACTGACATTTGTACATTTGTTTGTAGTGTTTGTCTGTTTTTGCAATACTGATTGTGTAAAGTGGTTTTCCTGTGTATTCATAAAGTATTATGTTTCTGAGTACTTGCTTATTATTATTATTATTATTATTTGCAGATGTAGCGACACTGGGGAAATGTCTGCCTCTTAAATGTGGAAAAATGTCAAATGTATTATTCTTGGTTGCTAAAATATTATTTTTAACATTATTATTATTCCAGTTGTTCTGATGCAGAACTGACAGGAACGTTCCTCAGGAACCAACTTCTATTGATGGCAGAAGGAACGTATTAGTCATAACTTTAACTTAAAGGTTGAAAACAAAACAATTTCATAAAAAGCTTTTTTTTTTAAATAATACCTCCATGGGGCGTTATAGGTGTGCAGACTGAAGGTACGGTATTTCCTTTAAACGCTATAATTTAATTAAAAATTTTTAAATATTTCTTTTGACAGCACAACACAGTTTATGTTTACATCTAATAAAAGGTACCATTGCGTGTTGCAAAAAGTCGGCTCTGCACAGCGAGCTTGGCGCTGTGGAAAATGGCGGACTTGGTAAGTCAAGCAGCGGCTTCTGAGTCCAGAAGAAGTTGTTATCCTTCTCAGGAGAGGAGCGACCATAAAAAACGTAAAATCAGAGTGAGTTTAGATGAAGCCTACAACAGATGGGCCCAAATAAAAAATTTCACAGCAAACCTGGGATCCCGACGGATGGAAACTGTTCAACCTCACACACTAGATGTCGCTTTGGTGTTCGAGTTCCATATTCAATCTTTAAATTAAGTTCATGATGGTTGAAAATAGGGATGGGCAATATACCGGCATCAATATCGGTATCCGCCATGTTTAGTCATTTTTTAAACATATCTGTATTGGTTTGATAATTAAAACTGGGCTGATAATAACAACCAGTATTTTTGTTTATCTGTTTCAGACGGTGAGGGGGTGATGATGTGTAAGTGGTTAGTCATGTGACAGTGATGGTGGCACAGGAGTTAAGTGCTCGTCCTGTGATCAGAAGGTTGCAGGTTCGAGCCCCGCTCAGTCTGTTGCTGTTGTGTCCTCAGGCAAGACACTTAACCCACCTTGCCTGCTGATGGTGGTCAGAGGGACCGGTGGCGCCAGCGTTTGGCAGACATCTCTGCCAGTGCGCCCCAGGACAGCTGTGGCTACATTGTAGCTCATCATCACCAGGGTGTGAATGACTGATTGTGTTGTAAAGCGCCTTGGGGAGTTCCAGGACTCTAGAAGGCGCTATATCAAATACAGCCATTTAATCATCTCAGAAGCAAAAATGTGTGTGGTGTGTGAATATAATAAACACACACACACACACACACACACACACACACACACACACACACACACACACACACACACACACACATAGAAATAAAGTAAGACATTCAAAATTTCAGCTTGCTTAATTTTCAGTCTATACGAAACCTGATCTATCGAGAGGAGTCAGTTGCGGTGGTTTGGGCATCTTGTTAGGATGCTTCCTGGACGCCTCCCCAGGAAGGTGTTTCAGACATGTCCTGCCGGCAGGACACCAGTTCTTACTGGTCAACCCAGGACACGTTGGAGAAAGTACATCGAACTGGCCCAGGAACGCCTTGGGGTCCTGCCGGAGGAGCTGGTGGAGCTGGCCAGGGAGAGGACGGTCTGGAACTCCCTAGTTGGGATGCTTCCCCTGCGACCCGGATAGGCGGAAGAAGAGACAAATTCTGATGATTTCAGAAGCATAAATGCCAGGATGTGTATATTTACATAGGTATTGGCAATTATTGGTTATTGGCCGTAACAGCGACATTAATATCGGATATTGGTATCGGCCCAAATATTTCATATCGGTGCATTTCTAGTAGAGAACACTGATGTTTGGGATGTGAAGGAAATAAGTAGACTGCACTTTGGTGAGAAACATCAAGGTGTGAACTTAAAAAATCCATTCATCTGTCATGAATTGCACAAGTGAGTGAGAACTGACCATCAGTTTGATTAAGGACAGCTCTTCAGAATCGTTAAACAAAACATTTGCTGAGACCTAATCTTCTCATTTTTAAGCTGCTTTCAAACTCAACATTAAAAACTTTGACGCTAGGAGTTTAAAATAAATATATTAACTTAATAAAGCAGCCAGAAATCTGAAGCCCCTTTCACTAAATGCTGGTGGGGTAAAGTGAAATGTCTGCTGGAAGCGAGGCAGTAACTCCCCAATGTTAAGAAAGGGTTAAATGGTTCTGAGGCCTGAGGCTGTGATAAGGTGATGACAGCTGCACAGCCAGCAGCTGTGGTATTTAAAACGGGAGATACTCAACACACATTCTGTGTGCAGCGCACCACATCTACATGGTTGTCTCCTTCATGAATGAAAACTCAGCTTTGCAAGCCAAACATGGTTGCTTATTCGATGATTTCTGAAAGGCTGCAGGAAACCTTAAAGTTTGGTTTTGTGGAATCAGCGTCAGAAGCTTTTTACTTTAACACATTTATCAGCTTTTTTTTTTTTTTGGAAAGCTGATTAAATCCAGTTTTAAATGCAGCTTTTGGGAATTACCTGCTTCCCACCAGTGGTCACTCCAAAAACTGCACTCTATTATTCTTTATTGTTTTAGACATTAAAGGAATAGTAGGCAGTTTTTCTTGCTTTTAGCACCCCCTAGTGTCTGTTGTTCATTCACTGTGGTTATACAGAAAATTAAACGTATCTCCTCAGTGTGAGTCGGTCTTCTTAACACCTTAATCTAACTGCTGAAATGTCTCCCCAGCCTTTACTAGTGTCTACAGGAGTGATTCATAACTCAATCAAACAAATCAGCTGTGCTAATTACCTAAAACATGCAGGAAATGTGCTGGAAGTAGACTGTTGCTCCACCACGTCAGCTCCACCCCATAGCTCCTTCCACCAGCAGGGAGCAAGTACCATATTCTGGCCACAAAGGGCGGTGGGGTCTGAGTGACATTTCATTAACCCGGAAAGAGTCATTTTAGCACATACTGGCTCAAAAACAATCTTAAAACATGAAAAAGTTGCATAGTTTGGCTTTAAGCACCAAGGGTTGGTTTGACAACTTTTTAAACAGAGTTTGCAACAATTAAAATAAAACTCATGCGTTATTACTTCATCCAAACAGGTTTCCGTTCGGGGGTGAACTTGAGCGTTGTGTATATTTGTCTAAATGACAAGCCCCCAAACTTCGTGCACGCTCACATTTTCTTGAAAGCAAGTCAAAAAGAGGTGCTTTTGATTCTTTTTGTTATTCTTTTTGGAGGTGGCATGGTCACAACGAGCAACAACAAAAACTGTGTATGTCACAGACACAAAAACACCAAAAAAGAAAAGGAACCCATGAGAACAGCTGGTTACTTTTAGGGATGGTGTTTTATGACATCTATAAATAACAACAAAAACGTGTTTTCCCCCCACACCGTAGACAAGGGTGAATGGTTACATTAGACAAACGTACGTATACTGATGCTACATAAGGGTAACAACTGTTCATAGATGTATTTATGGCACAATCATCAGAGGACACCGTGAAGGCATATACAACTTAATGAGCCGCTGTGTGTCAAGTCAGGAGCTATGGAGGCTTTATGATCCAGCTTGAGCCCATGAGAGAAAATTGATGACAGGTAGGTCAGGATGTGTGTGGCTCTAACCCGAGTCCAACTCACGCCACCGCTGCTGGAGAAACATTACCACACAGCAGCACACACATATTACAGGATGCAGGTTTGGCACTAGCCCGGTCGAGTGATTCAACAGTGATACAACGGGTCAATGGAGGAGACGAGAGTGGTTATGATACAGAACAGGGGCGGGGAGGCTGAAAACGAATGGGGAAAAACAGCCACGCCCCCCCCCCCCCCCCCAACACACACACACACACACACTCACTTTCACATCTGGATAAAAGAGATAAAACACTCTGAAAAAACAAAGCTAATTACAGGATGTACAACATGTCAACTGCGTGTAGAAAACAGATGCATTCATTTGATTATTTCAAAAATATATATATTTATATGCACATACTCTTTTGTACAGTGGCTAAACACTCGTTTGGTATTAAAATGTGCACATCTTTATCTATTTTCTCTTTAAATATGACTTGATTTACACTGCTTGCTTAACATTTTCAGCACAGATTAAGATTTCATAAGGAGATAAAAAGAAGTAGGCGACACTTCTGCCTTCCCTTTCAGGGAACATCTTATTCTACTGGAATGCCAAGAGTTTGAACAGATAAAAGTAGAGAGCTTTTAGGCCGTAACCTCCTCGTGATACATAATAGAATATATAAGTCTTTAAAAATAAAACCAAAGTGACATGAAACCCTGCGTCCCTTCTTCTCACACTGGCCGGCTTGTGGATTTGGACAAAACTCTTAAAAGGAAAATAAAAGTCAGATGTGCATTTCTGAACATATCCTGCTGACAGTTGCGGAAATCTGCTCACCAGAGAGGTTGTAAAAATGTTTCCCCCAAACGGTGTAAGGATTACAGGCTGCTTCAATTTTTAGTCAAGTTGTTCATCTAAGACATTAAAAACTACCCCCCCAATTTTTCCCTTTAATAATCGTAAAAGTGTATTTTTATATTAATGTCAAACTCTTGCAAACTAATTATCCAACTTTTTTCTGTGAGTCCTGAGTAACCTTTAAAAAATACTCGTAGTCAAAAAGGAACATGAAGAATCCGTTCACTGAGTCAGCACTCCTGATCTGAATGCAACATCAAACACCAGAGGACATTTTAACTGATTCAAAATCACTAAAATGACACACACACACACACACACACACACACACACACGCGCGCGCGCGCGCCATACAAAAGTTTTAAAATGTGCTCTCTTTCTCCCTGCTCACGCTCTCTCCTCACATTCCTGCCAAAGACATTCACACACTCAAACAAAAACAGAGTTAGAGAAAAAAAAATCAAAAGACTGGTGGTGCACATGAATAAAAGCATCCAAAATGATGCTGATATAATGCTATAAATCAGTCGACATTTCAAAAATCGTCTCTGTGACTGAGTCAGATACAGTGTTTCGTGTCACCAGCGAAGGAGAGGAACCTTCTTCACGAGCCGAGGCTCTTGGGCCGACGCGGACTCCGACAGGCACGTCATGAATACGTCAGAGGCTGAAACGCTTCCAGCCCCGTTGTCTGTCCACACTCGAACTGTTCGCTTTGGTAAAGGCTGTCGAACACTATCAGGGCATCTCCTCCACCTTTCGTTTGTTGTCTTAAATAAACAGGAAACAGTTTTTGTACCTAAGGGAGGTGTTACCGTTTTAAGCGCTTTGCATTCAAGGCAGCATCGCAGTCAATTCGTTCACGATGGAGGGGCAAAATAGTTAATGCTGGACCCCATCCTCACTCTTCTTCTGCACCCCTCTCCACACACACACACACACACACACACACACACACACACACACACACACACACACACACACACACACACACACACACACACACACACACACACACACACACACACACAGAGTTCTGGTGCACTCGACTCTGCGGGGTGAAAGTGCATAGGGGTGGGCCCCCCACCGTCGCAGTAAGGATCCGCTCACAGTAGTAAGGCCTTTTTGTTTCTCCAAAAGATGTGACTGCTTAAGCGTTTGAGTGTCTGCACAGTGAATTTCTTAGTGTGTGTGTGTGTGTGTGTGTGTGTGTGTGTGTGTGTGTGTGTGTGTGTGTGTGTGTGTGTGTGTGAGAGTGAGAGTAGAGTATGTTTTATGTGCATTTATTAGCTGTCTCTATCAGTAAAAGGCAAATGGTAGAAGAACTCGTGTCCTCCCGCAGCTACTTCTTTTCTTTTTCTATCGTTCCCTCTGTCCCGCTGCTACTGACGCTCCTCTCCCTCCTCTTCCTCCTGGATGACCTGGATGTCATCTGACGAGGAGGCGGGCAAGCTGTCCGACAGCTGCTGTTTGCCGAGCTCTTTGCTCTTGTCCTCCTCTTCGATGATCTTCTTCCACACCTTGTGGTTTTCTGTCAGGTGCTGCATGATGCAGCTGAACAACCTGCGGCGACTTTTCGTCCTTCCTGCAATGGAGAACGAAAATATTCCATTGACGCAACTTCTGACCCTCGCAGCTCTGGTGAGCTGACCAGAAAAGATAATGGAAAAAGAAGCTTAAAATAGTGGCAGATACAAGAAAGATAGGTTGTGTCATTAAATGTAGAGTGTTATTGATGAAAAGAGGTTAAACTAAGACCAACCTTTATCTGGTAGTGACTCATTGTGTAAGTTAAAAGTTTATCAGCTTTGTTTATGAAGCAAACTACTACAAACTAAAGTCCTGCTCAAGATTAAAAAAAAGCACCATTAAAAAAAGGATCATTTATCACCAGAACAAAGTTTTGAACCAATTTACAATGTGCCTATCACTGTTAATTTTCTTTGACTAAATCTTTTTTTTCCTGTAAGTAACTAATTTTTGCAGACGAAAGTGAAACTAAAACATCAAAAAAAGCATCTTCAATAAAAACAAAATTATGACGAATATTGAAAGAAGTACACACACTGCCTAGTGATGTGAAATGTTGGCTGGCCACAAATTTTCTGCATCTCAATGATTCCAAGACTGAACTGATCCTGTTTAATCCGGTCAGATCTAGCTCATTCCAAACCCCAGATCTTTCATCTATTTCTCAAAATCTAAAAACCGTTGTGACAAACCTGGGTGTGAAGATGGATTCATCTCTAAGGATGGACGCCCAGGTCAATGCCACTGTAAAATCTTGTTGTTTCCAACTCTGCCATCTGTCCAAATTAAGAGCTGTTTTATCTAGAAAACATTTGGAATCAGTTGTTCATGTCTTCATCACATCTAGGCTCGACTACTCAAATGCAGTTTTGCTGGGTGTCAATAAGTCAACCCATGCCTGACTTCAGCTCGTTCAAAACGCAGCTGCTAGATTCCTAACACGTACTGACAGGCGCCAGCATATAACACCAGTTCTCAAATCCCTTCAATGGTTGCCCATCACTTTCAGGGTCCAATATAAAATGCTAGTTTTTGTTTTCAAATCCCTCCATGGTCTTGCCCCCGTGTATTTATCTGACCTTCTTTCAATTTATACTCCCGGTCGCACACTCAGGTCCTCCAGCCTGTTGCTCCTCGAGGTCCCGAAAGCGTGTTACAAATCATGTGGACAAAGAGCTTTCTCTGTTGCGGGTCCTAAACTGTGCAACGATCATCCAGTCACAGTTCAACTGGCATCCACCTTGGCAGATTTTAAGTCTAGACTAAAGACACACTATTTTACCCTTGCTTCTAACAGTTAGCTGTTAGTTTGGCTTTTACTACTCTTATTTTATCATCCATTGTAAGAATTTATTGGTACTTTTTTATCGGCTTGTCTTTTTTTTTATTGTTGGCTGTATTTTATAGTACTGTTTTATGTTTTTTATCTCTATTATTGTGCAACTGTTCAGCACTTAGGTCAGCCGTATGGCTGTGTTTTTAAAGTGCTATATAAATAAAGGTGGTATGGTATGGTAAGGAAAAAAAACGATCATTTATATAGATAAAAATCAGGAGGCGCTCTGATCGACATTTTCGTCGACGAATAAACGATGACAACGAAAAGGATGAAAACCCAATCAGAAAATGGGAAAGATGGGAGGAAAGGACAAAAGGACCAATCAGCATATAGAAAAGGTGGAACTAGACGAGAAAAGAACCAATCAGAGTCCAGAGGCAGCCGCTATTTGAACAAGCTGAACAGTTGAACAGTTGAACAATTTATGTCCAAAATGAGAAATGTCCACGGCTAGGAGGAAAGGCGTTAGATGTGTCGATCCGGGGTTTCCTCTGGTCTTAAAAGCGTCACGATGGTGGCAGCGAGCGTTGGCGAGGGTGGGGGAAGGTGAGGAGTGGGTTGCTGCAGCCGAAATGAACTCACGGAGCTGCGCATCTGGTTGTTTTATTGGGGGTTTTTCCCGTGACGCTGCTATGGCCGAAATGATCAGTGCTCAGTGTTCTAGCAAAAAAATAACAATAATACGTCCAGGCAGCCTACTATGGTAAATTATGCAAAGAAAACTAATTAATACACCTGAAAACATTTCTTACCTCCTCACATTACTAAAGTGACCCCTTTAAATGTTTCGATGGTATGATGTCATTTCCTGTCAGGTTTACAAATATTACTGCACATTATACAGATTTGTTTACTTTATTAATACTGAGACACAATTTCAAACTTTCAGTCTTCATTTAGGTATTTTCCATTAATTATTAGTAGGGATGGACAATACTGTATATCGGCATCAATATCGGTATCGGCTGATATTAGTTATTTTTCAACATATCGGTATCGGTTTCAATTCAATTCAATTCAAAAATACTTTATTAATCCCAGAGGGAAATTGATTTGATAAATAAAACTAGGCTGATATTAATAACCGATATTTTTTTCATCTTGTCTCCATTTGTTTGCCTGTTTCGGAGGGTGAGGGGATGATGTGTGTCACAACCTGTCCTGTCTCCCCATTCTGTACAGGCCTGTGTCAATGTTAATTACTCCCACCTGCCTCTCGTCTCCCAATCACCCAAGGTCCCAGCTCCTCCTGTATTTAAATCCTCTCGTTCCTGTTTGTCTTGTCGAATTATTGTTTCGCTGTCTCATGTGCTCCCCATTAAGGACAGGTCTCCCAGTCCAGTCAGCGGCAGCGGCACCGCCACCGATCCAGTCAGCGGCACCACCTCCACTACCGTCAACGGCACCGCCTCTGGCCCAGCCTGTTCAAGTGGCTCCGCCCCCGGCCCAGCCTGTCCAAGAGGCTCAAGTCAGCGCTAGGTCCAGCGCCTCCAATCAAGTCAGTGCCAGGTCCAGCGCCTCCCGCCAAGTCGGCGCCAGGTCCGGCGGTTCCCGCCAAGTCGGCGGCTCCGCCTCTACTCCAGTCTGCACCTGCAGCGGCTCCGCCTCCACTCCAGTCTGTGCAGTCACCACCGGCCCTGCCCTCGCCTCATGTGCCCAAGACGCCGGCCCCCCCCAGACTCCGGGGTCACCTCCTGTGCCCCAGACTCCGGCCCCCCAGACTCCGTCTTGGCCTGCGTTGGGCGTCCGGTGCCGCCCTTTAGGGGGGGGTACTGTTACAACCTGTCCTGTCTCCCCATTCTGTTCAGGCCTGTGTCAATGTTAATTACTCCCACCTACCTCTCATCTCCCAATCACCCAAGGTCCCAGTTCCTCCTGTATTTAAACTCTCTCGTTCCTGTTTGTCTTGTCGGATCACTGTTTCACTGTCTCATGTGCTCCCCATTAAGGACCCTTCTTTATAATCATTCTTGCCTGCCTGCCTTTTTCCCTTGCGATTGGATCCTCACCTCCGCTCACCTTACCTGCGCTCGTGACAATGTGTATTTGTTTAGTCATGTGAACAGTGAATGAAATAATCTCAGAAGCGTAAATGTGTGTGTTAATAATGTAAATTCAGCTTTAATAATTTATTTCTATACAAAATCTGCTGATTTTAGAAGCATTAATGTCAGTATATCGGTATCGGCAAATATCGGTTATCAGCCATAACAGTGATCTTAATATCGGATATCAGTATCGGCCCAAAAAATTTCATATTGGTGCATCACTATTTTTTAGTATTAAAACAATTAATAATTAAGAGTTTTATTGATCCAAAGTGTAAAATGTGATTTTCTTATTTCTTTACACTTTCAAGTAGGTGTAGCTAGGGATGGGTACCGAATTCGGTACTTTTTAAGGTACCGACCGAATTCCATAGTACCGACCGAGCACCGATTCACGTCATTTCAAACGGTGCCTCGTTTCGGTACCCGTCCATCATAACGAGAACTTGCCAAGACAGCTGCGCATGCGCAAGAGCGTTTTGTCGTTGCTTGCTGTGAACCAGTTGTAAACAGAGCAGCATGGTAGAGAGAACGCAGGCTAAAGCTTGGGTCCACTTCACTAAATGTGATGGGTAACTGGATGATGAAACCAGCGACAACTATCTAAGTGAGACATCCTCATCTTAATCTGCTCCGGTAGGTAAATATAATTAGCTTGATATGTTAGCTTCCGTTTCGCTAATGGTGCGTTCGCTTTCTCCTCGGAACTCCGAATTTCCGACTAGAACAACATGAATGCACTCTAAAGTTTGGCTTCACTTTACTAAATGTGACGGGTGAAGACGAAACCAGTGACGATCTAAGTGTGGGGCATCGTTTTAATCTGCTCCAGCAGCTAAATAAACTGTTTAAGGTATTGTTAGCTTGATATGTTAGCTTCCATTGCTACCATTGTTTTCAGCTAATGGTGCGTTCGCTTTCTCCTCGGAAATTCTAACTTCCCAGTAGGAAAAATCAAATGAAAAAAGATGGCAAAAGGAATGAAGATACACAGTAAATTTAGTTCACAGTAAAGATGTTTGCTTCAGTTTAATTATCAGCTTATAAAACTACAAGGGTGATGTTAAAATACAAACAGTTGTATGTTATTTATCGTGATATTTGCACCAAAGCTGTGGAACACATTACCACTGCTAGTGAGGCAAGCACCAACAGCTAGCATTTTTAAATCACGCCTGAAAACTCACTACTTCAACCTAGCTTATACAACATAATTATGGACCTCACTTACATCTGCACTGTTTAAAAATGGACTCCACAATTATAGACTTCCGTATTATTGAGGTTCTTTTTAAAATGTTTTTTCTAATTTTTATTCACCCTGTGTCTTATTGATTTTGAGCTGTTATTTTTGGGAATTTTGTTGTATTTCCTTTTTATATTTTATCTGTGTTCGACATGTTTGTATAACACCGGTTTAATTAACCAACATTTTTAGTGTACAGCGCCTTGTTTGGTTGTAATGCCTTGTGAATGCGCTTTATAAATAAAATTGGATTGGATTGGATATTTATCAAATATTGTTATATATTGAGAAAAATATATATTTAATTATAAACGAGAATTAAAATAATAAACACTCAAAAGTATCGAAAATTGGTACCGTTAAGTACCGGTATCGATTCGTAGGTACCGGTAATTAGTACCGGATCGATTCAAATGTCAAATGTACCCATCCCTAGGTGTAGCTAACATTTCCTTTACAGACGTTGAAAATGAATGATTGATTTTAGTCGACTAAAATGAGACTAAAATGAAAACAAATTAAATAATAAAAACAAAAGTTAACACTGGTGTCTATTGGTTTAAACTAGGTAATTCTGAAAAACTGCAAAAATATATCTTCCTATCTGCAATCACAGTCATGGGAAAAATTTTTGGAGAATGTCAAAAACATGAATTGCCATAAAATTTGCTGAATCGGTTTTGGTTAAGGTAAGTTGCATTTCAGAACGTTATAAATGGTGGCAACCAATCACAAAGACCCTCTGGGTCAGGCAGGGTGAGTACAACCTGCAGCATGGTAAGAGAAGATGAAAAATCTGACCTGATGCCAGGTCATCCTCTAGCTCATCCTCCTCTTCCTCTTCATCTGTTTCCACCTGCTCCTCGTCTTCATCCTCATCTGACTCTGCTTCATTAATCCACTGGCCTGGAAGAAGACCGGCGGCATCGTAGGAGTTGCACAGTGGTCCCACGATATGGGTGATGAAGGACTCCTGGAGCTTGGCCAGATGCGGGGAGGAGCGGTCCATGAAGGGACTGATTGGTAATCCCAACCGGGCTTCCTCATCTCCCTGCAGATTCAAAACAAAACAAAACTGAATGATGAAGTGAAAACAGAACCTGAATGATGCTTTACTGGAGTTGCAGGAAGGTTCTTTGAGCTAATTAGAAAACTTCTGTCACAAACTCATCTTGAATGTCTCAATCACTGAGAACACAAGTCTGTTTCATTGCATCGAGGGCAGGCCCCATTCAGACCCAACACTAAAAAGTTTGGTTAGCAGCCCTAAACACAGAAATCCTCTGGACTGAGTCGAGCTAAGATGCTCTAGGACACTTTTATCCACATTTCTGTAGGAATCTGAACTCAGATCTGCAATTGGCATGACTGCAGAGTTGTGTAAACTATCTGTTTTTTTTGGGGTGGGGGGGGGGGGTGGGGGGGTGGGGGGGGGGCTTCTCTATACAGAATCAACTTAGATCTGTGCGGACTTTGATTTTATCGTGCTGCTTTGCTTCTCTCACATTGCATCTGTTCTAAAACAGAACTCAACACTAAAAGGAGCAGAGATGAATCAGCAGAATGCTCTTGTCTGAATATGGATCCAGTTAATCCTATTCATGACTTAACAAAAGCTTCACTGTTCCCGATGTTGTCTAGTTTGTGGGTTACCTGTCAGTCCTACACATGTCTGCATGCAGAGAGGTGGCTGAGATCAGACCACTCAGGTGTAAACTCAGGCTTAGAACTGTTAATCTGTGTTCAGATCAGCCATGAAACAGGGTTGAAGAGGTCAGTGATTAGCATGTGGCTAGTTAGTGTGTCGATATTGGCATGTATAATCAAAAGTAGTCACAAACCAATGTGGTTATATTTTATGTGTATGGATAAAACACGCAAAGGTAGTGGAAAGTGTGAAAACCTGATAAAAGATGGAAAACTTTCAGTGAAACTCTGAATGGGCCCATTTACTGCAGAGGGATAAAGAAATGTTACTATTGTCTGTTGTGAATTTCTTATCTGTATTTTGTGCTCCTGGTTTGTGTATTGATGACTGAGATGTTTGGACAGTGGTGAGGTTGTTCAAAGGCTCGATTAGGCAGAAATGTCAGTCAAGTGTTTGTACAACCAGGAGGATCCCGACATCAGAAACAGCCGGTAAATACTGGAACTGTATGATAAGTACTAAAAATAAGCTGTGACTTTACTCTTGTTGTATTAAGAAAATTACAAAAAAAAAAACATTTTAATCAATCAATTATAAAATGTATTTAAAATAATAATAATATTAATACATTGCTAAAGCTACAAAGGCTAATGTGCAAAACAAGCTAGTCCAGCATATTTTTTCGTGCCTCTTAACAACGTTCTAACTTCGTTGGGGCGACGGTGGCACAGGAGTTAAGTGCTCGCCCTGTAATCGGAAGGTTGCAGGTTCGAGTCCCACTCAGTCTGTCGCTGTCGCTGTGTTCTTGGGCAAGACACTTCACCCACATTGCCTGCTGGTGGTGGTCGGAGGGACCGGTGGCGCCAGTGCTCGGCAGCCTCGCCTCTGTCAGTGCGCCCCAGGGCAGCTGTGGCTACATCGTAGCTCATCCCCACCAGTGTGTGAATGACTGATTGTGTTGTAAAGCGCCTTGGGGGGTTCTAGGACTCTAGAAGGCGCTATATCAAAAACAGGCCATTTACCATTTAACATAGTATAAATATAAAAATTATGTGGAGATTAAAAAAAGAGGAAAACAATCATGATGAAGTGCTTTTTTTTTGCACCTTCTCAGTGGCCTAGTGATATTAGTGTCTCTCCTGGGACTGGGAGATCAGGCTTCAAATCCCCCTTTAACCCCCTGGAGGCAGGCGTTGCAGATTTGCAACGTTAAAACCTACCTACCTGGTTACTCCACATGTTTATGTTTATGTTTATGTTTATATATTTAGCAGATGCTTTTGTCCAAAGCGACTTACAAGTGATAATCGGCATGTTGCCCTTGAGGCTAACAACAACAATAGCAACAACTTGACATCAGTCATGGAGAGGAGGAAACAAAGGAGTGGACGGTAGAGAGGGGGGATGGGTGCAGGGAAGGCGCTAGTTAAGAAGATGCTCTCTGAAGAGCAGGGTCTTCAGGAGTTTCTTGAAAATTGAAAAGGAAGCCGCTGTTCTGGTAGTGCTTGGAAGGTCATTCCACATTTGTGGAGCGATGCATGAGAAGAGCCTGGATGGTCCTGAGCGTGGTGTAGGCACTGCTAGCCGACGATCCTGTGATGATCGGAGCGGCCGGGCCGAGACGTAAGCCTTTGCAAGAGGATTCAGGTAGATGGGAGCCGTACCATCTCGGACTTTGTATGCTAGTGTTAGCAATTTGAATTTGTTGCGTGCTGCTAGCGGTAGCCAGTGGAGCTCAATGAACAGAGGGGTGACGTGTGCACATACGTACTTCATGAGCATTTTTATACTAAGAAGTACCCCTGAAGGACTTAGTTGTTCATCCTTTTATCAAAACTTATTTTGAGCCTGAGAGGGTTTAAAATGGGACCCAGTGCCTCCCTGCTTGACACTCGGCATTAAGGGGTTGGATTAGGAGGTCACACCACCAAACAGTTCCTAAGCACTGCCACTGCTGCAGCTCGCTGCTCCCCACGAGGATGGATCAAACACTAATTTCATAAGTGTGTGATGATGACTAATGGGACTTTATTTTAGAGGTCGACTGATATATCGGGCCATTACAGTAAATTTTCTCTATATTGGCCATCGGCCTGAAATTATTTTAAAAAGCTGATTAAAAATAAATAAATAAATCAGGCACCCGTGTGGCCAACTTCCTCCAGTACTAGACTGAGGAAAGGACCTGAAGGACCCCAGCACACAGTTTTTTTGTTTAGAGTTTGTTTCATATTTGAAGTTCAATAAATATTAAGACACTTATTGACTTATTTAATTTATATTGCACACAGTGAGTGTTCAGTTGTCTTTCACAATCAATGTGCTGTTAAAATGTACATATATCAGCCTTAATAATTGGCTTTAGATATCGGCTGTCGGCAACAAAACTCTTTAAAAATCTGTATCGGCATCCGCCTTAAAAAACCCATATCGGTCAGCCTCTCCTTTATTTGTCTAAAAACCTCAGCCAATAACACGGCGCAGTCCAAAACCAATGATTGCACCATCTGGTTGTCTGTCTCACCAAACCACCGTACTTCCACATCTACCTGGGTCCTCAGTTCATTACACGGTTGTGCATTTAGCAACAGAACAGCACTGGGGTCAGAGGTTCTCCGCTCAGTAATATCAGAGAAGGAGAAACAGTCGGCTGCTACCACTTCAACTTTAGGACAAAACACCAGAGTCCCAAAAAGAAAAACACCATTTGGAGTCACAGACAACAAGACATTTGGACCGAGAAAACTGCGACTGGTGTTTAACACTCTCTTGTTTCCTCTGGCATATCAGGGGTGTGTGGCCTAGGAATGATAGCCAACTGGAGGGGTGAGAGTTCTGCGAATGTGGTTTTTATTTTTTTTCTTCTTGCGTTTAAAAGCTAGCTTGTTTTGCACATTTGCTATTGCAGCTTTAAAGGGAGACCTACATTTAAAAATATACATTCTGTGGTTTCGAACTCTTGGAACAGTACAGATGAGGACACAAAATGCTGTATGAATGTAAATCCTTAAAAAAAAAAACGATAGTAAAAAAAATCTATATTATAAAAGTACATGGATGCAATAGAGCACCCAGTGGGGATCTGATGGCATACTGCTGCTGATGTGGTTAACTGCCCATTAAACATGATTTAGTGTGTGGGATTAGGTCATCTACTTATCTGTATAAATACGTGTGTGTGTGTGTGTGTGTGTGTGTGTACAAGATGAGCCAATAGGAGATATGATTTAATAAACATTAGATTATTTCTACTCCTTTTCAAACTGTTTTATTTTCAGGCTTGATTCCTATTTTATTTAAACCTCCCATTGTCTTCAATGGTGACCCCGCGAGGAAAATTGACCATTGAGCAGGGTTGATGGTTTATCCCTTGGGTCCACGTGGCAGGGGTGAGCACCACCTCACCCCTGCCACGTGGACCTCAAGGGATCAGTGGCGGCGCCAGGGGGGCGTTATAGCTACCCCTGGATTAGTCATTGCACCCCCAAGTAAATATTAGATTTTTTAATTTTTACAATTTAATTTTAATTTAACGTGTGGATGTGATAATATTTAACATACAAAACAAAAATAATCAGTAAATTATCATATAGATAGTAAAAACTTAAACCAAAACAGGAAACTGATGTTAACCTTTGACCTCATTTTCCACCTATGAACGAGTGAAAGGTAGAGCTAGTGGTAAAATGGATCGGATTTTGTTGCCCACATTTCCACGGGTTCAGTCAGAAACGAATGAATCTTTGGAAGTGATCTCAGACCAACAAAAACCTACGGATCTGGATGAAGAGAGTCAACCCTCAACCGCTGCAGCAGTCGAGGGTTTTGCCGCTGGAAATGCTAACACTAACGTTAGCTAACCTTTGCAACACTCTAGATGGTTTTCTGTGTGGCTGTATGTGTTTATGATTTCATGGAAAAGTCAGCGATTGTTCATATGTTTATGATGTATATTAATTAGGGATGCACCGATCAGGTTTTTTGCTGCCAATCACCGATACCGATATCAAAGAATGCTGATCACCGATACCGATATCAAAGAATGCTGATCACCAATACCGATCACGTGGATTGGCCAGAAATTTTCTACAACATTATAATGAGTGCTACAAACTACATAATCTGGGAATAAAGGAAATGTAACCTAATCTAAAATGGTCTGATCGGTCTGCTTTGATCTATTTTGAAAACTCCAATCAAAACCGATAGGGGCGCTATCAGCCGATTGGGATCAAATGCAGATCCATCGGTGCATCCCTAATATTAATGATTGTTTCAGGTGTTGTTGAGGTTTTGTGTATCTGCTAGTGTTGAAGGTGTTTTAGAGAACAATAGGTACGCATGACCACTTCCTTCATAGCACCCTCAATAAAAAGACTAGCTCCTTCATAGCACCTGCAGAAAAAATTTTCTGGAGCTGCCACTGCAAGGGCCAAACCATCAACCCTGCTCAATGGTCAACTTTCCTGGCGGGGTCACCCATGAAGACAATGGGAGGGTTAATTTGTTTTTATATTCAAAATAAAGATTTCTTCATCATCACGAGAAGGTGTTTTACGCAGATTATGTGTTCTAACTGCATTGATTTTAATTTAAAAGCAGCAACTTCTAAAGACAGGTTGAATCCAGTTTGCTCAGCAACACCTGATAAATCATTAAAAATATAAAAACAGCGTTCCTCAAAGATCTTGAGCATGTTTCTCTCACAGAGGTGTGTGTGTGTGTGTAACAGACCAAGGAGTTAAGCTCTATGATCTCCGAACCTCAGCTAGACCGGAGTGTAGCTCTGTGTATCAGATGCCTTTAAGTCTTAAGATGTGAACTTTGCCGAACTCATGGGGACCCCAGACGGCTCAGTGAAAACGTGAAAAGTGGTCAGATGAATCAGTTTTCCACACCTTTCTTTGGGGTGGGGGTGATTATAGGGCTGCATGTGCTGACAAAACTTTGAGCAATCTCGTCTTTATCTAAACATCGATGTCATCACCGCATTAATCAGGAACAATCCCATAATGGAGATAAGTAAACTACAATAGCGAGTCGTGTTCTCTACATGGGCTGCTTGGTGGGGCAGTTGGTGGCATAGTTGCTTCATAGTGAAAATGTTGTATGTTTGAATCCCAGGCGTAGCCTTCCTGCATGGAGTTAGCCCAATAGGGTGCTCTGGTTTCTTCCCACAGATCAAACACATGCACGTTGGGCTGGCTGGTGACTAAATTGTCCCGTGGGGTGTGTGAGTGTGTGACTGGTTGTTTGTCTCTGTGTCCTCTGCCTCTCGCCTGATGACTGCTGGCGTTAGACACCTGTTCCTCATGACCTTACTGAAGGTGAAGTAGTATGGATAATTAGTAAGTGTGACTATGTTAGTGCTAATGACTAATTAGGGGAAGTAAAAAAAAACTAGATAGCATAGCTTGTAGACAAATTATAGCATAGAGAATGACCTCTTTATTGTAAAGCTAACAACTATTTAAAAAAATACTTGGGACTATTTAGAGTTAATGGAACTATTCCTTACACAATGAGATTTCAGGTCACAAAAAAACAGGAAGTGGACTGACTTGTTGCTCTTATTTTGAAACTTGCATTTTGCCTTCCTGATTTGTGTTGAGAAGATTAAATGGCCAGTATTTGATAAAGCCCCCCCCCCAAGAAGCTTTACGACACAGTCATTCACCAATTCACACACAAATTTCCATTGTGGTGGTGATGAGCTACATCGTAGCCACAGCTGCCCTAGGGCACACTGACAGAGGCGAGGCTGCCGAACACAAGCGCCTCCGGTCCCTTCGACCACCACCAGCAGGCAAGCAGGGTTAAATGTCTTGCCCAAGCACACGACAGCGACAGACTGAGCGAGGCTCGAACCTGCAACCTTCCGATTACGGGGCGAGCACTTAACTTCTCTGCCCCTGTCGCCCCGTTTGCATGATAAAACGCTGTTGACGATTCCAAAATCAAAATGAACAACTTTTGAGACCACTTTCGAGGTGAGATTTAAAGGTTTTTGTACACTTTTCAACAGTCTGTACCTGCTCATAAAACTCATTCACAATGCCTTCGGTCCATTTGAGGTGCAAGTCTCGGACTTTGGCAGGTCCATTGATGTCTGCCAGCTTGATACACACTTGGCACACAAGGAGTCTATCATTCTCATTGGTCCAATCGATTCCCGGACTATTCACATCATTCACCTGTAGTCAGATAAAACAGATTTGTCAACAACAACTGACCCAACATTCATGACAAATGTGTGGTTTGTGTATGGATTCTCCATGGCGGACCTTGGCATTAAACTCAGCCAGGAAGTCAAAGTGCTTCTTGAGGTCTGTGGCCAGTATGGCCTCGATGACGAGGAAGCGGAAACGCTTGAATTCCACGTGGTCGAGGTTGGACAGGAAGTTGTACTCCGGCTGCGACAGGTAGAGGCTCCAGGCTGACGCGGCGTGGTGGTTCTCCAGTACTGAGCGGTCATTGTACAGCACCGCCTAGAGTCAGGAGAGGGAAAGACAAGTTGGTGAAAGATTGGAAATAAGCCAACTTAAGAAAACTCCTATTTCCTCTAATTAGATTAGAAATTAGATAAACACTGATGTGAAAATGTGGGAGAATATCCGATACTAATATTGATATTCTGGTTGATAACCAATATTTACCGATATTATATTAGGGTTACACTAATTTAATTACATACACACAACCCCCTCTCCTCCTGAAACAGATACACAACAGGCAACTAGATATCCATAATGTTTATTTCCCCCCAGTTCTAATTATTGGACTAATATATGTTGAAAAATGACAAACATTGGCTGCTACCGAATATGATGCTGATATAAAGTGCCTAAATATGGGTTATAGAACTTGTTATGGAACTTAAAAGAGCAAAGGCCTGATGAATGAGATAAAATGATGCAACAGCATCTGGTTATGAAAGAGGATGAGCAGGTAAAGCTGACAGAAGATACAAAGAAATCCTTTAAACGCACGTAATTTTCAATCCTGTCATTGGAAATCAGTTGGTTCAAGGTCCTTCTCCCTTTTTTTGACCCACTTTCTGAGGAGTGAGAGTACTATCACTGGACAGGTTATTCAAACAATATTTAAACTGGGGCAACTGGGTTATTTATTTAGTCTCTCAGTTACATGACCGAAAACAATGAGATAATCTGGTGTACTAGCAGTAGCGAGGAGCTAATCTTGCTTGTGACCCTTATTTGAGACAACGGTGTAGATGTCTGTGTGTAAATGACACCCACCCCCTGTGACCCTGTGTGAATAAGCAGGTAAGAAAGTGGATGGAAGGATAAACTGGAAGCACATAAAGAATAGGGGTGCAAAGAAAAATGTTGACTCAGGTTAAAAATTAACTTGAACACTGGAGATGACATTAGAACACACACACGCACACTCTTTCAATTACAGGTAGTGTCTCTGAAGCTAACGGAAATGTTTTTTATCAGCTTGACCAACTGGTTTTCACAGGGTCAGAACTCCATGGTTTGTGAAAAGTCACATGCCAAGAAGAGGAGAAATGAAACACTACAGTCACACATTAGGCTGATCAGAATGAAAACAGTGCACAAACGCAGACATACACGGCTCATCTCAGCCACAAACACAATGATCATTTATGCTTAAGAGCTGTTGATTTAACAAAAATACCAACAAACATCAGGTGGAAACCTTTAGAATGAGTCTCTAAGCTTACATTGGAAAGAGAGGCAGATTTAACGTGTGAGAACGCATTCATGGGTACATGGATGATGTTTGTTTTGACTGGAATCTTGTGGAAATGGTCAACAAATGAAAGTAAAAACACTGAAAATGAACCTGAGCAGTTTAAAAAGCACATTATAATCTGCTAAAGACAGACAGATTACCTGAGGTGCATTAGTGGCTATTAGAAAGGCATTGGTACGACCCGGATGGTCATAGTCGTGCATTGCAGCTGCTACATAAAGGGCCATGAGCTCCAGGGCAGGAATGTTCCAGGCCAGGCAGCCGTAGCTGTCATCTGAAACGGTGGAGCTCCTGGACGAGGCGTAGGATATCCTTCCTGGAGAGATTCCACTGTCTGAATCTGCAGCATTCAACAGACAACAAGTTAGCTTTGTTTTCACATCAATAACAGCACAGACAAGCCAGGAAGTGTTAGCATTTTTTAGTTCTACTCACTTTAAGATACAGTACTGTGCAAAAATCTGAAGTCATTCTTTGTTTCTTTATAATTCGCTTCTAAATTTCAGATATAAACCTTTAACCCTCCCACTGTCCTAATGGGTGACCCCATGAGGAAAGTTGACCATTGAGCAGGGTTGATGGTTAATCCCTTGGGTCACCCCTGCCACGTGGACCTCAAGGGATAAACCATCAATCCTGCTCAATGGTCAACTTTCCACGCGGAGTCACCCATTAGGACAGTGGGAGGGTTATATTGGTTTTGATTGATTCTTCAGACTTTCTAAAGGTCTTTTAAAAAGTGAAATTACCTGAAAAAAGCTCATAAAAGGAGCAGAGTGGACCAAAAACGGGGCACGTTAACAAGCAGTTTTATGCAAATTTTAAGATGACGATGGTCAATCCAGTAAAGGCGTCAAACATTGCATGCATGGATGTATTGGATGGCAGTGAGGATGACGTTCTGGGAGGAGTCAGCAGGTGTAGCGATCTGATGGTGCACCAGGACCGCAGCAGCATGAGTGAGAATGAGGGTGAGTACAGCAAGGCAGAGGGCGTCTGAATAAAATCCTCATTTGACTTTTGATTTCACATGTCAGCAAAGTTCTGATACTTTGCATTAAAATAGTATTTTTGCTCAGTGTTGGTTCTCAATTTTTCAATAAAAACAGTTTATTTAAAAAGTGATTTTTTTTTCTTTTCCTGAAGATTAGTCTTGGAAAGGAGGGTCGTCTTATAATCAGGGTCGTCCCATATTCGGGTCAATATGGTATTTGACCTCCCTGTAGTCCTGAGCTCAACTGTATTTGTTTAAATTTATATAACTGAGGATAATGGGTTTGCTGTTAATGGATAACAAAAAATATATATATATTTTTATCTGGGACAGATTTTACTCCAGTGGCATCAATAAAAACATGAAACTCACAGAAATTCCTTCAGTCCTTCTCAGATGTCAACACAAACCTCAAAATCCTCACCAAACATCTGACGCTTGTAAATACAGACTGTTTCAGCTCCAGGTGCTAGTTTATAGTGTTGGTGCCTAAGGAATTTATTATTATACCCTATTCTGAAACAAAAACACACCATAGTTTATTTATAGAAGGCACGCTGGAGACACAATTTGTTGCTATTATTCCTAGTTGGATACAGTGGTGTTCTCAAAGGGGGTGAGGTGGGGGTGGGGGGTGGGGGGCAAGGCCTCCTGATGGGGATAAATCACATTTACTGTAGGTTCACAAAAACCTTGCATTTATTTTCTTTAATCAAGACATACATGGTAAAGGCAATAAATATATTTATTTTAATAAAAATTGTAGTGTATATATAGTTAACTTATTAAATCACAATTTAAATAAATGTATATGTCACTGAGGCTCACCATTTTCAAAAGAAAGTATAATTCCTAATAGCTTTTGTGTTTTCTTTTTAAAATCGCGACAGGCAGATTACATTTTTAATTAACAACAAACAAATTACAAATGTTAAATTACAAACAAATTAAAGAGTTTTAATATTATAAAGCAATACATTATGGGAAAAAATGTATTGTTATCGAAATTTCTGACTCTTATTGAGATCCTTTTTCCCATGTCAATAAATTTGATAATAAAAAAAATGAAAAGTTGTGTGTAGTTTGGCAGCGTTCATGTCCCTTAAAGAAGCTGTACCACCTTGAGTCATGTAAAAATGTGACTCAACATATACTGTACATGTGACAGCCCCATCTAGTGGACAACTTTTGTTTCTGCACATTCCTGTAGTTATCGTCCATTTATCGTTATTGAGGTGAAATCCTCAATATATTGTGATATTGATTTTAGGCCATATCGCCCAGCCCTATTTCCAGGTGAATGCGTGTGATCCAAGGGCCTTTTGTTTTTCAAAGTAAAAGAATGAAGAAGCAATGCCGCAGAGCTACAGGCTAATCTCTCCCAGAGTTACCACAAGGACCCATTTGGTGTGCCACTCCAAAATGTTCAATGGCTGGGACCCACTGGCTGAATGAAGAAAAATGCTCTAAATATCACTTTATGCAAATATAAAAAATGTATTTTAGAACAAACAAGGTGCTTAAACAATCTACCAGGCCCAGATTAGAGTATAATTCCCCCCTTTATGTGACACATTAAGAACCGGGCAGAAAAAGAACAAAGTTTATCAAAAAAGAAATTACAATTTTGCACACAACTACTGTAAACAGTCACAAACTCTGAATGCTGTATCTTATCCCAGAGTCAAGGCTACTTCTTCTACTCCGCAGACTCACCGGTGTCACTCCCTGTGACGTGCTCACTGTGGATCTGCTGGAACCCAGGGATTGGTCGAGTGGTCAGGTACCACACAGCGTGGAGCACATCAGTAGCATGGACCCGGTTATGATCTGCACATTTTTGTAAACGCAACACTTAAAACACCACAATCATAATCCTAACAGAAGCAAATAGTTACTAGTAACATGAGTGGAACGCTCACATGGAATGTCTCTGTAGCCGCTTTCTAGAGCACAGAAGTAGGACATGAACTCCCTCATGGGGATCTTGAAGATTTCAAACAGACACATATCCTGGAACAGGGTGTATGTCACCTGCAAGAACACAAACCAGGACTAGCACCACAAAGAGCCAAACCAAAATAACCACTCAAGTGTTATGAATAAATAAAAAACATGACAGCTTACGTGTCCAGACCACGGATTTATGAAACTACAAATTCAACTGCTTTTACTTCCACCTGTTTTCTGTTTCTAATCAGCTAACAATAGACTTCAGACTGCATGCAGCTTCAAAACCCCTACATTTGTTACTTCGGTTAACAAATGACACATAAAAATAGAGACTTGAAATGTACTCACAAAACCAGACTAGCACATTTCGTTTCAACATTCCTAATTCGAGCTAGATTTAAATAGACTTGTTGGTTGATGTACTGACATAACTGAGGATACGTCCGGTCTTCCCTCCTGTTTTATCCACCAGGTCGAAGATCTGGAAGTTCCAGGTGTTCATCCTTTCCATGAGGGCCTTGTGATCCTCCAGCATGGGGTCTAACTTGAACTCCTGTTCACTCTGAGGACAAAACCCCATTAGGTAGAGATGTCACATAGATAAACAACACATCTGCATGCTTTTGCATAGGCTGCTCATAGACTGATAAATTATTTCTGTGTCGAGCTTTTATAGGAGCAGCTAGTTCTACAAGTAAATCCCTAAGTTGTTCTGACTTGTCAGAATCTTTTCAAAACAAATAAGGTTCAAAGTGTTTTGGTGTCCTCAGACCAGAAAGCAGTGACTGCCTAAATAGCGATAAGTAATATGGTAACTAGGGATGTCCCGATACAACTTTTTCACTTCCAATATGATACCGATATCAATACGATACGATATCAGCACAAATCACACATACTTTACCTATTTTGTAGTGTGGAATGTATGAAAGGCTTGATCAAGTGATATTACTCAATCGGAGAACAAGTGCCAATAACAGTAAGTATGAAAAAAGTAAAAAAAAAATTTAATTTTTGATGCCGTCCGATACAATCCGATACACTGTTTTTGGGCCGATATCGAAATACTTCCGATATTGATGTCGGAACAGTTCATCCCTGGTGGTAACCATGTCCTTAGTAAATATTTATTTCTACTTCTATTGGTATTGCTATCAGGTCCGCGGATGATTTAAAGGGAGACTAGGCAATTCTGGCTTGCTTTTGGCACCCCCTAGTGTCTGTGTAGTAGAACCAAAAACAAAACTTTACTCCTCGCTGTGCGTTCAGCTGAAATGCCTGCCAGCCTTCCTTTGTGTCTACAGGAGTGATTCATCACTAAATTAAACTAATCGACTGTGTTCATGATCTAAAACATGCAGGAAACATGCTGGAATCAGATTCCAGTGTCAAGTATGTCAGCTCAATTTTTTTCTAAGTTCAACAGACAGGATCGGCACTCTGAAGTTGCAAATGCAGTGTTCTGGGCACAGAGGGCGGTGGGGGTCTGAGTGACATTTCACTAACCCTGAAAAGGGTCTTTTTAGCACATACTGGCTCAAGAAAATTATTTAAAATTATGAAAATTAGCAAAGTATCCCTATAAATTATATTTCTCTGGCTGTACTCAGTGTTGATGTTGATTTCTGGGGTCCCCCAGGGATCTGTTCTGGGGAATCATTAGTTTATATCTCCTTTTTCTTTCCTGTTAAAAGGGAGTTTTCCTCTCCACTGTCGCTGCATGCTTGCTTAGTATGAGGATTGCTGTATAGTCACTGACACTCGTCAGTGACTTGATGCAATTTGCTGGGTTCCTTGTATAGGAAACATTATTTCTGATTGGCATAATGAACTGTGAATTGGAATGTTTATTATGTGAAGTGCCTTGAGACGACTCTTGTCGTGATTTGGCGCTTTATAAATAAACTTGAATTGAATTGAATTTTCTCCTTGGTCATGACTTTTGCAAAGACAATAATGTGATTTTTCTCTGCAGATGACACCTAGCATTCCTCCCATTCCTACTTCTCTTACACCCTCTGAGAATCATACAGGAACTGAAGTACTTACTGAGAAAATCAAAAACTCTGATTTTCATTGCTACAAACTATCAAAAAATGTGACTGTATTTCAGTTATCAACAATTATTCTACACCCTCCACAAAAATGTAGAGTCTGGGGACAATCATCAATATTGCACTGGCCACTTGCTACATTTAGCATTGATTAGAAGATTCAGATTCTCAATTTTTAGGGTATTCACAGTGTCAGCATGCTCTCCTACATGTGCCCTTCCACTCACTCTCTCTATGATCAAATCTTAATTGAAAACCCACCTTTTCAAGCTGGCCTACTCTGCAACTGTCCCACCTACAATCATATAAATCTAAACGAAACATACCTCCTGTTTCTGAGTCTGCTGCTCTGTGCTTGGGCTGCTCTCCTTCTCCTCCTCTGCCAGTCCTTCGTCTCCACCGGTATCTGGCTTCCCATCTCCAGAACATTCCACCTCCTCCCTGATGAGAGGCTCACCTGAGAACTCCAGCCCTTCAACTACAGCACAGACACACATAAACCACAGGATTTCACGCACGACAAAAACACACAAGCAACTATTTGTCATTCCAGTTAATTTAAAATCTGCAGTTTTCTTGGAGTCCAGCAGAGAGCAGCATTAACCTGTTAAACTCCCAACAGGAGCTCTACATTAAACCACTGAACAATCCTGTCTGCCATGATTGCATGAAGAGTAATGAGTGCACGTACCTGAGCGCCTGCGCTGAGCCTCAAGGGTAAATGGTTGGTGAGACTCCCCTACGTCACTGCCTGATACTCCCTTGAACATCTGACGGCCGCAGCTATGACAAATAAAATCACTTGCATGGCCAGTTTCAATAATATGATTAAAGAAATCAAGTAAATAAAACTCAATTGTGACGCCACTCCAGATCTGAGTGCCTCACCTGGTGCACAGAGGGAAGCTACGAAAGGCCTGTTGAGAATCAGTGGCGCTGACTGTTTGGCCCAGGGGCTTGTGCAGGTTCAGATTGATGCTCGGCTTCGTCAGGAAGTCTGCGGTGTCTGGGAACTCCACGGGCAGTCTGGTGGAGTGGGATGATGTGGAACCTGCTGGAGGACTATGGCTTGGTGAGGTGACTGGACTCAGGCTGGGAGATGCACCTGGTGAGAATGAATGGAGAGATGTCAAAACACGGAGTCAAATCATGATCGTTTCAACAAAATACGATGATTTTTATATATTAAGTCTGACCTGCTCTCCTGGGCCCAGCATGGTATGTTAGGGTAACAGAGGAAGACCTCTGCTTGGGAATGGTGAGCAGGTTTGCGTTGGGGCCGTTGGTCAGACCTGAGCTGTAGCGTAAAAGACAGACACCTGCATGTAAAACCCAAAACGTCTGCAGGATAATGACAAATTGTCTCACTATCAGATGTTTGACTCATCCAGAGAACAAAGCTACACCATAGGCAGTCATTTAACATCACTAACACTAAAGCATGCTCTGGTGAAGGCAACCGGAATAAACACTGGACCTCAGTGTGGTGATGAAGAATAAGATTTTAAAGTCATTAACCAAAATTGGTTTTCTATCTTTGTAACTTGTCTACAAATACACAACTATTACTGGTATGTATTATGTCTGTTTGTCATCATCATTATTATTGCACAATCTGGTCTGTCATTAGGAAAATACACGCTTTTTATTTCCCCAAACATTAATATAACACCCTAATCTAGTAAAAATGAAAGAAAAACTACAAAATACAGAAAAACATTCAAAAATTTCAAAGGCTTCAGTGTTTTTACTAACGCCTTTCGTCTCATTTTTGCTTTAGTTAGTTTTTGTCCCCAAACACCACAAAATACGTTTCCATTCTTCTTCTGATATTCTGCAAAGTTTCTCTATAAGAATAAATTAAAGTGAGAAATTTAAATAAAACATGGTTGTGTCCTGAAATCAAAGGGCCTAGACGACGTTCTAAACGATCTTTTAAATCAAACAACACAAAGATCGCTGTCTTTGGACCTGAGGACTTCTAGAATACGCTGTGAAGCCATGAAACTGACCTAATCTTGGACTACACAACTAATGTGTTTGTTTACAGCAAATAACAATAAATCACACATGCAGCAAGTTTTATAAATTTTCTTTCTTTCATTGATGCAATATTTCCAAAATTAGGAACATTTTGCCTCATGCAGAGGAAATAGTTCATTCATTTGTTGCTTTTCAGCTAAACTGTTGTTTTATTTTATTAGAATATTCCAGTTGATCCAAAATGATGCTTACCAAACTGAGATTTAACATTCTTAATAATTCTCCTTGCATAAAAGCTCCCAGTAACCAAATGCCATAAAATCATAAAGATCTGAGTTTAATTTTATTCCAGCAACACACTTTGCTCTCAGACTGCAGAGTAACTTGCGTTTCCAGGAGCTTCCAAACGTGATACGTAAGGCAGAGCCTTTAATTATCAGGCTCCTCTCTAGTGGAACTAAATATACTCACGGGTGTGTTTAAAAGGAAGTCACTGGTTTGGATTAAATGATATTAGTTTTATAATTGGACTCAATTTGATGCTGTCATGACTTCTTCATGGATATAGAGTAGGGGTTGCATGACTTAATTTTTTTTAAAGTCGACCGTCAAGTAATGAAAATCGAGTTGACTTCGACTAGTCGTTGATGACGTCACACACCTGAAGCGGCTAAAACTGATGATGAGTGACCAAGCGTTTTTTTCCTGACGCATGGAGGGGGGGTTGGTTCGCTGGAGTTTTTGACAATTAAAATTGCGCCCACATTTTCTAAGTTAAACACATCTCTTTTAACAACGGTAGTTTCTGCATCTTGCTTCAGCCCTCTCCCCCCTCCCCCTGCGCAGCGGCCGCAAACTCACTGATGCGCCTGCAGCCTCTCAGAGTTCCTGCTGCTCTAAACATTAAAATAATTATTTCATTTTCTGTTCCTCACTTCTGATTATCTTCAATGGTGTCTGTTTGTTGCAACCACCAGGTACAAAAACTAACTTGTTTTTATTTGACTATTTTTCTGTCCTGTCTGTTTATTATCTTCCTGCATCTCCTCTCAATCCTAAAGAAAAACTGCTACCTGGGTTCATATATATTCACCTTATGAGTTACCTTTGAACTGCAGTTCTAAAAGATCTACCGTCCGCAAAAACAGCAGAGTGCGTGCTGCGCGCCAGCCGCACCAGTGCAGTGAGTCCCCGGAGGACAAAACAGGTGATGCACCCCGCTCCACAGCAGAGAAACGCATCAGGCACAAATAAAAGACAGAAAACAAAAAAGGAAACGAGCTGGCATGAACGATCGCATGTTAACTTTGTTTTTGAGGTGGCAACACCTAATTTGATGTTACTGTGGTTGTGCTCAGGACGCAGACGTCTGGAGTGCGTCAACGATCAGAGATTTGCATGCGTAAGCTGGTTACGGTTAGGATGGGGGTGAGGGGAAGGTTAAATTGCAAGAGGGTAAAGGTCACAATTTGATTCAACCACTGAATCAAATGTGTTGGAGCAGATGAACAATGAAAACATGCTGGATACTGGCCCTCCAGGACCAGGATTGAGATCCCCTGATATAGAGCAGTGTTTCCCAACCCTGATCCTCAGGGCACCCTGTCCTACATGTTTTCCATGTCTCTGCTTCAGCACACCTGATTTACATTGAGATCAAGTGCTGCAGATGCCTGTTAATCACCTATACATTTAAGTCAGGTGTGTGGCAGCAGGGAAGCACTGATGTTTAAAAGGGCAACATGGAAAACATGCAGGACAGTGTACCCTTAGGACCAGGGTTGGGAAACACTGATATAGAGCAGCAAAGAAGAGCCAAATTAAACTGTTCTGAAACAATCTAAAGATGACCAGATTCGCTGTGATGTGGATTTAGACCAACAGCCTCAAAACATTAATGCTGCACTTTCTGCTGCTTTGAAAGCATCTCAGCTAATGAGCAGACCCACAAATGCCTTCAAAAGTGTTTTTGGTGTTGCTAAAACAATTTTTAGTCTCATAACACGTAAAAAGTCCTGCGTGGGCCTGGATACCTGGTCAAACTGAGGTCACAGTGGGGTCTCTTTCCGTTGTTGCGCTCCCAGCGTGAGGCAGCAGGGTCGAGAGGAGGCAGAGCAGAAGGTGTAGAGGAGGTTGAGCTCCGTCTGGGCTGAGGGGTGGGGAGGCTGTTTCTGCTGCTCAAACCCTGACAAACAGAGGTTTGTTGGATGTTTGAAGCACAATAACTGATGATGCTGCTACACAAATATCATGATATACAAGTCCTTTTAAACTTTTCTATGAAAAATAATCATAGTTATAAAAGGATTACTTCTGGACAATATTACACTGTTCAAAACGGTCTCATGCTTGTAAGCATTATGAAGTCTAATAGCCTGTAAAAGTCAATAAAATACCAGTATCGATGAAAAAAACATAGTAAACACTCATTTACTGCTCTAGTAAACCTCTGACCCACCTTTATGCCTTTCCTGTCGCTCCTTTCTAAAGAATCCTCTGTATCTACTGAGTAGAAACCTGGAAAGGGAGTGAAGGGGTTGACCCTGGGCCTGCAAGAGCCCGAAAATGTCCCCAAAAGGCTGGAAACGCTTCGCAGAGAAGCAACATTGTTTGGCGACATTGATGAGTCCATCAGCAGGTCTGACACCAGATTTCTAGCTTCGTTGATGACTGATAGATCCACGCCGTTGCCGCTCACCGAACCCTGTCACATGAACCCAAACATCACTCAGATTACGAGGCAGAATGGTACTGTTGGAAGACCGTACTGTCCTTTCTAAAAACTTCATTCACTAAGGACCTCGCATAAATGCACAAAATCTACCAGAATGTGGATCGTCTTTAATAGGGATGTTAGAAAACATTGATATGGCAATATATCGCAATATTTTTCCCTGCAATTTTATATCGATATTCAAAAGCCGTGTATCGGATTTTTTGAATAATTTACATGCAAACATTTTCTTTTCTTTTTGGTGCAATTCAATCGCCGACCGCTAGTTGGCAGCAGTGTGCAATGGTTTTTGTTTCCACCATTGAAATGTAAATCCCTTGGTTATGGTTCAGAGACCTCATGTTAAACATGTTGCGTATCAGTTTGGACTGTTAATTGAAATTTCTTACAATAAATTCAGTCTAAAAAAAGCGCTAATATCGTCTGGCTGAATGCATTGCAAAATACTGTGATATATCGTATCGTCTCCCCTGTATCGTAATACGAATCGTATCACCAGAATTTCAGCAATACGCAACCCTAGTCTTTAATGGGTTTGGTAAAGTCTTTAAGTGACTTACGGCATGTGTGGCATGTGGTGGCATGAAGATGGACCTGTGCAAATTGTATGGTTTCTTTTTTTTCATCAAGAATCTGAATCATACATGTCTAGGGTGCAACCCAATCACACCATCAATGTTGAGCTAGCATAGTAGTATTCTAGCAGCTTTTGTTTTTCTTTTTTGTTTTACCAAGTGGTCATTCGGACTTATTAAAAGACTTAACATCCATTTATTTGCCTGTCATTTTTAGCAGTAAAATAACAACAAAAAAACTAGCTTTGTTCTGCTTGCCTCTAGGTTGGCTGTAATATCCTTTCAGTCTGATGTGTTAAAGACCCTTTCCTGACATTTTTATTTTATTTTTCTATTAAAAATAACTTGGTAGCTTTGTCGGCATGTTCCGTGAAAATACCACATTAATTATTGCCATAATCCAGACGCATTCTAGTTGTAGTTAAGTCTTCATAGAGTGAAATTGTTGTAAGAGGGTGACAATTAGAGCTAGACCAATATATCAAGCAGATATTTACAATTTTTTTAATATCGGCATCGGTCGATTTACCTCCTAAAGCCTGGTTCATGCTTCTCCGTCAGCTCCGCAAGGGACAGACACGCACGGATTGACGGAAGCGTTTTGCTCTCATACTTCTCCGTCTCCTGGAGAGTGATGCAAAGCAATTGCCCGGCAGGACAACAGAGGGCGTAGTGCTGTTCTGTGGTATCCTGTCATGTATCGGTCCACGAAAGTGTGTTTATATTGTGTTTTTTGTGTATATAAGAGACTTTTAACACGGACATATTTGTCTCTCATTCTCCCACTGCTTCATGCGCTCCCCACCTCTAAACCCACGTTTCCTGTCATTTCCATCCACAAATAAAACGCTTGCTGCACATCTTTTCACTCCTCCAGTCACGGGAGAATTAAACGTTCATATTTTTAGAGTTTTTTCACGAGGTATTCTTCAAGCTTCTCCGTGTCTGCCGCTAGTTATCCTCGGCTCACTTTATGTTTTTGAGGGCGCAATGGTGGTGGTGTAGACGACAGCGGCGTCCTGACCAATCACAAGCTTGCGTAATCCGTCTCGTTCGACGGATGTTTAAAAAAGTGGGCTCGCCTCCGTACGTACTTGCGTGCCTGTCAGAGCCCTACGCAAGGATGGATAATGGCGTTGCGTGTCTCCGCACTGACGCAGACGGAGAAGCATGAATCAGCCTTTAGTGAAGCCGATTTAAAGTCAGGCACATCCACAAGCACCTTGGTGCTGCTGCAGAATTGATCTTAAATGTATATTTACACATTGAGAGAAGCCAGTTGAGGTGGCGCAGCCATTTGATTAGGATGCCTCTTGGACGCCTCCCTGGTGAGGTTTTCTGGGCACGTCCAACCGGGAGGAGACTTAAAGGGAGACCCAAGACACATTGGAGAGACTATTGTCTCTCAGCTGGTCAGGGAACGCCTTGGGATTTCCCCAGAAGAGCTGGCCCAAGTGGCTGGGAAGAGGGAAGTCTTGGCCTATCAACTTAGGCTGTTGCGACCCGACTCCGCATAAGCGGAAGAGAATGGATGGATGGATGGATGTATATTTACGTTCCTGAATAACATCTGCATAACAAATGCATGAATATTAAATACTTGGTCAGTTAATTGATTTGTTTGATTAAAGCTGTTATAACAAATCTACAAAAAAAGAAAGGTTTTGAATGCAAGCAGGGTCGCAGAATACTCACCCCTCCCTTCAGGTATTTCCCCTGAGACGCTTCTGCCAGAACCAGACACCCGTGATGCCAGACGAAACGAGATAGTGATAAACACCGGTCGCCGTTTTCTAGGTTCAAACGACTTTTGTAGTCCGTGACTTCAAATGCTGTTTTTCTTTTTGGGACTCTGGTAGTTTGTCCTAAAGTTGAAGTGGTAGCTGACGGCTTTTTCTCCTTCTCTGATATTATTGAGTGGAGAACCTCTCACACCAGTGGTGTTCTGTTGCAAAATACGCAAGTGCGTAATGAATGGAGGACCCAAGGAAGTGCAGAGGTTTGACGAGACTGACAACCGGATGGTACAATAGTTGCTTTTGGTCCAAAATGTACTATTGGGGGAAGTTTTTGGACAAATGCGAGGGAACCATTTTATTAACTTTTTTTCCTCCACAATATATTTATAGCTATTTCGTATTAGAACATTGTTAAGAGGCATGAAAAAATGTTTGAAGATAATTTGTTTTCCAAATTTGCTATAGCAGCTTTAATGTTAGTTAAATGTCTGATTTTAACACTGACCAAAGCAAACATTAGGATTTAACAGTTGTTTAAACGCCGTGTTCAAAAACTGATTCAGCTTCAGACATTTTGGACATCAACTGATGTTTTTAGTGATATTTTTGCATCAAAATTAGGTGGAAAACTTCTAGATATTGGCCAAGAAAATCAGCAGCACATCAGCTGACTTTGCCAGCTACATATTGGCATTTGCAATTAAAAAATATATACATTTTGGTCGACTTCTCAAGACAATTGTTACTTTTAGGAATGTAATTTTCCCATAGCCGACTTGGCTGGTATTTCACATGTCTAACATCTTCTTCTCCTATTCTCTCCTCGTCCCACGGTTTTAGACATAAGATAGTAAAAGAAACTTTCCATTTGGAAAGCAGGAAACTATGCTTATATCAAAAGTTAATACCCTTGAATTGTGAACCATTCATCACAATGTAATCCTTGCATTTTTTAGGGCAGCTTTCACAGGAGAAAATGTTCTGACTGGGTCAACTTTATGTCAACAACACGAACAAATAATGACTTTTGGCTTTTGTGGCTAAATTCTTTATCAGATTACACAAATAGTTTAAAAGTACATAGAATGTCTGAATAAGATAAAGATATGACAGGACAATGATTCCAAGGCCATTGTATGCAAGTTCTTTTTTTTCTTCTTTTTTTACAAAAACGCTTGAGTCATAAAAATGTGGGAGAAAGAACTGAATGTCCTAAAAATGTGATTGTGGTTCGAATACAAGCACCCCTGCTGTTAAAATAAAGAGGATTTCCTTTAAAATACCAGAATACGTAAGCTGAAACAGATGAGGTACTGACCTGATACTGCGGTTTGTACCAGTGTTTCAGATCCCAGTCCCATAAGATCATCTGCAAAACAAAAGACAGTTCTGTCACATGTCATCGCTGTCTAAACGTTTGTTCCTAACAGATAATATGACACATAGAAGGAGCCCGGGCTTTGATTTGTGCACTCCACTTTGAGCCGACGGCGTCAGAGAGGGGGCAACGGCAGGTCAGCGAGAGAGCAGAGCTTCTGCAGGATTTTTCTTTTCTGCCTGTTATCTAAACACACAGTGTAGTAACAGTTTACATTAAGGATTTCCTGTACCACTTAATGCTCTTTCTTACTGCAGGTACTGTATGCTGCACGCCGACTGGCTGGCTGAGCGACAGCAGACTTGGGTCTTTCACTGAAAGCAAAAGCAGAAAAACAAACCACTAAATCCACCATGGTACGTCTACAATAGAGTTATGAGATCTTATCAAGCCCTAACTATGTCAATCAGCTGCATTTCCATGCTATCTGTTGGCACCCACCCACAAAGCTGCTCTCACACAGCGGTGCTGGGTCAAAGCTGGCACACGTTTTGTAACTCTGTGTTGGTGAATGTGGGAAAAAAAAGGCCAATCTCAGACATCAGGTGAGATTAAAATTCAAACATGAATAAAATGGAAGCTTCGTACACAGATTTAACTCTTTAGCAGTGCAAAAAAATTTCCTTTAGTTTTTGACATAAAAATTGAATATAGCATCAAATAGCTTCAACTAAAAATCTAAAAAGTGGGGGAAATCTGCTTTTTATGCCAATGCGGTTTGACTTTGCACCACAAGAGGGAGAGGGCAGATCCCTTTAAAGAGAGCACCTCTAACAAATACCATGAGTCTCATCATAACATGTAAACACACCCAGTCACTCAGAGACAAACAGAGAAATTCATGATGCATTAAAATTATGGTCAAACTCTGGGATTTTCAACATGATGGCTAAGGAAATTCTTGCTTTATTATTTAAGGAGACTAAACTGTCTTTGACAGACTCAAAATAGAAATTATATTGTGCTTCTAATTTCATTTAAAAGATGTAAAATCCAATATAAATATATTTAAACTTGTTCCATCTGGCAGATCCATGTTTATGGATGCTGAATAGATCAGTGGGTCCACTCGTCTTTCTAATCGGTGCTCGTTTCATTGATCAAGGCGAAATGTTGGGTGTTTGTCATCAGCATCTGTACAATGCTGCCAAACATTTAATATGGCAAATAAGCCCTGCCATGGCAACCCGACATAGAGGCCAGCAAACAATGCTGCACACGCCATAGCAACGAGATGACAGGAGAGGGCCGGAGGACAGAGTTCTTGGCCTTCTGTTTGTTTACAAAGCGAATCAGAAACAGGTCCAAGCTGAAGGAGAGGTTGACAAAAGAGAAGGGATGATGGTTGAAAAAAAAAAACACAGCGAGAGGGAAAAAAGAAAGTCAGACGCAGGTGGATGGTAGGATCTGTGTGGATTCCTGACACCCAGTGACGTTCCTGGATGTGTCACCCGATAGAGCAGACTACGTGTACAATCTGTCAACCATTACGGCATGCTTTTCTCTTAACCCGGAGCGTTGTACTCAACTCCAAACAGCTCCTGGGACTTGGAAAGTAGGCAGGCTGAATTAAATGAACCGCAACGAAAGCCGATGTCAAAATACAAAATATTTACGATGAGGTGTTTTTGCAAATGTGGAACAGGAGAAGTTTTCTTTAGTTATCACATAAGAACACTGGCTTGAGATAAAAATACAAAGGACACTAACTTCTTCTGCATCTTCCTAAATAAACACTGGGTGCTTTATGATCTGAAAAGCTGTTGCTGATGCAAATATTTTGAAACACACTTTATGAACAGTCTTTTACAGTAAGTTGTTTTTTTTTCTTTTTGTGCTTTTCTCTTGATTAATTTCTCTATTTTTAAACCTTTACAGCTGCTCATATCTCATGTACGTGTTATTCCGTGTGACACCGCGAGCCAACTCACATGAGCAAATGCATAAAAGTGATTTATGGTTCAGGTTTTTCCTCCCAGAAATAAAGAAAAACAAAACATGCAACACTATATCTATGCAGGCTGTCACCAAGACACAGCAAAGCAAACAGAAAGAGGCATTTAACAACAAAATATAAATTCACCAAAAATCGGAAATATGAAAATAACTCCAGACACAGGCATGCATACACAAAAAACCCCTCTTTCACGATGCTTCAACATAAAATGGGTCGTAAATGTTTCTTAACTGGAGTCAATAAACCTGTGTGAGCTATTACACGGCCAGTTAGTTACACCCGTGTGTCATATTAGCCTGGCTCCTCGGTGTGAGAGGTGCTAGAAGTGATAAAAACATGCTAATGGGAGAGAGGGAGAAGGGGGGGGGGGGCAAAGTAGAGAGAAGGTATTAGTAGTCACTGGTGACCAGGCAGGCAGGACATTTGTATGGCGAGCAGAGCAGTGAAGCTGACGTCAGTCTGCAGCGACATACAGCGTCAGCACCTCTACACAGACTGAGGGGAGAAGACGGAATGATACAGGAGGAGGAGATGAAAGTGCAGTTTTACATCTCTGATCTCAATCTCAATGTAAGGCGCTCTAACCACCAGCTTAGTGCCAAAGCTTAGACCAATAAAAAAGCAGAGAAAAAAATTGTCTCTGAACTTTTGACCTGCCGTACTCTTAAAAACAGAGATTGCATGAAACAATAAAACATGGTGTTCTAGATTTCTAACAAGAAAAGGTTTCTTTGACAAAAGCAGATTTTTGGGAACACTTGGCAGTTAGGCTAGCTTTTAGTGCCCCCTAGTGTCCATTTATTAGAACCAAAAGCAAAACATTTGCTGTGCGTTTGTCTTTTTAACACCGCAATCTAACTGCAGAAATGTCTCCCCAGCCTTCATTAGTTTCTACAGGAACGATTCATCACTAAATAAAATCAGCTGTGTTCATGATCTAAAACATGCAGGAACTGCAGCACCAGGTACGTCAGCTACATTTTTTATAAGTCAAAAAGTCTGGACCGGCACATTGCAAATGCAGTTTTCTGGCCACATATGGTACTGGGGGTCTGAGTGGCATTTCATTATCCTTGTAAAGGGTCATTTTAGCACATACTGACTCAGGAAAATAATTTAAAAACATGAAAAAGTTGCATAGTATGCCTTTAAAAACAAAGTTTGTGAAAGAGCCAGATGACAAAACCATAAACAGTATATAGAAGCCACAAAGGGAGAAAAACAATAGGATACTTCCCCTATGTGGAATCAGACAGATCTAAAGATTGAAAGTCTTGTAAAAATTTGTTTGCATCAGTACTTTTGCTCTGCTGCACCCCAAGGCCCATCAACTGCTACAAGCCTGTCACACATATTCTCACGGCAACTTAGTAGTGTGACAAAACCTTTTTTAACTATCTTCACTGGACCTGATGTTGTTTCTGAGCACTTTTTGTTGTTTGCTCTCTTTAGCAATAAATCTGTGAATTAAAAAGGCAAACTCAGTTGAAAATGTTAGGTCATTGAAGATACTTTTACTTTGAAAATCCTGGAGCAGATCTCCTGTACTCCTCAAAAACTCATACTAAGAGCAAAGAAAATATCCAACTGCACAATAATCTTAAGGACATATCGCCATTAAAATTTCATTTAAGAGGGTTGAGGAAACAAGGTGAAACAGGGAAAAGCAAACAAAAGGTTTGGTGAAAATAACAGTTGATAATGAGAGCAAGGTCCACAACAAAGAGTTATTACCTCTCATAGAGGACACAGCTCATGAGATGCCTGAAACTCTTAAATTTATTACCCTGGCTTTTCTACCTTTAGAAACCAACATGACAAGGAAACAAATGTTTTAAAATCGATGTTGATGGAACAACATTGACCATTCTTACATTTTCATCCAGGCAGGATAGAAGGTTTGGAATGGACCTTTAATGAGAGTATCAGACAGTAAGAAGAGGTCACCTTTAAGCATATAAAAACAGTCTCCTTAATATTGATGATTTCTATCAACTAGGGCTGGGCGATATGGCCTAAAATCGATATCACTATACATTGAGGATTTCGCCTCGATAACAATAAATGGACGATAACTACAGTTGTCCACTAGATGGGGCTGTGTTTTTTGGGACATGTATTACGTAGAGTTAGCCTAGTGAACTAGACCAAATTCTTGCTTTGCAAAGTTTGGTCTAGAAACGCTCCACTGGAACCTCTGCAGCCCCTAACAGCATTCTGGCTGGCCAATCACAGCTCTCTAGAGGGGTTTCAAACACATTAAGAGCTGTGATTGGTCCATAATGGTGGGCCAATCATAGTGCTCTATCTGCTTAGTGAACAAATCACAGAGCTTTATCCTCTTTGTGGGCCAATCAGGGCACTCTATATGCCTGGTGGGTGGGATGATGCAACAGAGTGAAACAAGATGGCGACGGCTCGTTTGAAACAGCTTTTACATCAGTTTTGGACTACTAGAACTTGGGCTTCGTTAGAATCAGGAACAGATAGATGTATTTAAGTGCTCTTTTTTTTTTTTTTTTTTTTAGAAAAAAATATGTGTTTTCTCCTTCTTCAACTGCGGACCGCCTCATTTACCGATAGCATGTTTTGAAAGACAACGGTAGAACCCGCCCCACAACCGAGAGCCGTCAATGGAGCATTGCCAGACTAAATAATACATTTATTTAGTCTGGCTTGCCAGGCTAATGTAGAGTCACATTTTTACGTAACTCAAGCTGGTACCGCTTCTTAAAGGGACATGAGTATCGCTAACCTACACACACCATTTCATTTTTTCATTATCAAATTTATTGACATGGGAAAAACGATCTAGAAAAGAGTCAGAAATTTTGATAACGATAAATTTTCGATTTATTGCCCAGCCCTAATACTGACCTATAAATAACCAAAACAATGGTGCACAATAGTAAATAGTCTGTATTTGTATAGCACCTTCTTAGGGTTCTACAACCCCTAAAGTGGGGTCACAACACAATCAGTCATTCACCCATTCACACGCTGGTTGGGAAAAGCTGTTGTGTAGCCACAGCTG